TTGTATTTCTTTTAATGTTATTGATTTGGAGGATTTGGTTTAGTAGGGTTATACATAGTCTGAACGTCTTATTTTGAAAATTGCTTATATTCTTTAGCTATTCTTATTGAGGAATGACACTTAGCTTTACATATTTTCAGCAATTCCCTATATATCTTGAATATCCAATCAGGAATGTTTGATCTAGGGACTTTCTTTCCCCATTTGACAGCTTTTCTCATTCTACCTACATTGATTGCTTGCCTCTTTTGTAATTGAATGTAAATGAAATTATCTATTTATGTGTGAGATCTCCCTGTTCTTCGTTTGGTTGCGAATTTTTCTCTTAGTCATATTGGTGAAAGATGCTTTCTTCACTTCTCTGATTTTTTTCTTTATAATGTCCCCTTTTGCATTTGGACTATGAATCCTTTGGGAGCCTTTTGGGTATATAGTGCAAATGCTGGTTTAAACCAGTTTTCTGCAAAGCTGCTTTCTAATTTTCCTAGCAGTCCTTGTCAAATATGGAGGGCTTCCCCTGCTTGTTTTTTGTTCTTGGTTTATTGAATTCTTGTGTTAATTTGTTCCTAGGTTTTGTTTATTCTGGTCAAGTCCTCGTTTACTTTGACCCCATGGTATTTGTTCTCGGTATTAGGCCATCTTTTTTGGCTTATGCGTTTCTTTAGTCTCTTTGCTAGTTTTTCCATGAGGTCTTCTTTGTAAGGATTTCTTTCCTTCTCCCTCCACTCCCTCCATCTCATTTTTGTTGATTTTTAGATATTAAGCACACTCACTTCTTGCTGTTTTGAGGTATTATAGAGGAGCGGGGCCTAGACAAGACTATTTATTCACTTTTCTAGTTTTAATTTATGGCTCCACACCCTACTTAGGTCATACCTTCATTGTTTCTAGTGAATAAAATGCCCATTGCTGTCTCCTTTGTTCATGCCCCCCTGTCCTTGCCTCTGTCTAGTCAACTCTCATCTCCTGCATGACGTCTTCCCTGGCCACCCTGCCTCACACCCCTCTAAAATCCTACAAAACACTGTTCCTTTCATCTAACAATAATTATTTATTGTTGTTCATCTGTGTCTGACTCTTCATGACCCCACTGACCCACTGTCCATGGGTTTTCTTGGCAAAGATGCTGGAGTAATTTGCCATTTCCATCTCCTGGTTTTTTTTTTGTTGTTGTTGTTTGTTTTTTTTAATGCAGGCAGCATTAAATCAAATTATCCTTTCTTGCATATTATCATAGGTCAGCTAGGTGACACAGTAGATAGAATGCTGGGCCTGGAGTCAAGAAGATTCATCTTCGTGAGTTCAAATCCAGCCTCAGATACTTACTAGCTGTGTGACCCTGAGCAAGTCATTTAACCCCATTTGCCTCAGTTTCTTTGTCTGCAGAATGGACTAGAAAAGGAAATGGCAAACAGCTCCAATATTTTTGCCAAGAAAACCCCAAAAGGGGCCATCAAGAGTCAGACATGTGAGAAATACTAATACTAAAAAGTTAGGTTTCCACAAGATGTTGCAGTTCCAAGGTGATTAAGATAGCAAGCACCATCAACCAAATCAGCTTTTAGGAGAAGCTGGCTAAACACAGAGTTTCTGATAAAGGGAGCTTAGGCTGACACTGACTCAAACTGGTCAGGTTCAAGGGACGGTCACTGTCTTTTTGTTAGTATGCAGACTTAATAAGCCTCATAAATGTTATCTTCTCCATCCAGGGGGGAGCAATAACACAATTTTAGGCACAAAATGTATGTTAAGGGGTGGGGATCACATGTATCTAAAATATATGAACAGGGCATATAAGGAAGATTGTAACCCAGAAGGATTAGGACCAATCCTGATCCAGAAGGGAGAAGGTAGGCAATTAGTAACTATAAAGCCTGCTCTCACTTCTGTATCTGGACTCTTCTCTCATTAAATGGAATGTCCGTGCACATAATTAAACGATTCTTCTTTCACTCTGGACAATAGTTTCGTTATTGGCTGGGAACTTAGCCTTCTTACTTTGTGGAGAGGGGGCTTGGTGGGCCTACTTATAAAAGACATGACTGAAAAATGGCTGGAGAAGCACATGTTGTCATACCTCCCCAAGACTGTCAATCTCTTGAATTCCTAGATGATAGGGACTATGTCTCATCTGTGTTTCTGTCTCCCTCAGTAGGCACTCATTCTGTTTGTTGATCAACTGCTCAGTCAAACTGAATTGAGTAAGAGTACTGTGTACCTAAAATCTAATCAACTTTCCCATTCCAAGAGCTCCACACATGAGGTCATTTCTGTGCTGGGAGAGAGGAAGGAAGAGACAGCAAGATCGGAAAGGCTAATTTATTTTGAACCCGAGCTACAACATAGCCCATGAATCCCTTCCCTCCCTGTCCCCACTAACCTCCCCACCCCCATCACAGACCCAATCAGACCCCTCCCTAAAGGAAAATCCTTTGTCCTTCAGGGCCGGTGGTTAGCAGAGGGGAGCACCATGGAGAGTTTGTGCTTATTCCAAAGATGCAGGGGGTACAAAACTACACGGAGAGACATACACACACACTCTTGTACACGTGCATGCACACACACACATATGTAGCCATATAGACATACATAGAGATATGAAAACATATTCTTAGTCATACATGCACACAGAAGTATGCAGCCATACAGATATAAAAACATATTCTCAGTCACCCACACACACACATACACACACAGAGAAATATGTAACCATACACACATACAGATATAAAAACACATTCTCAGTCACACACAAACACTTTTAGAATACACACACACACAGAGAAATATGTAGCCATATATACATATGCATATGAAAACATTCTCAGTCACACACACACGCACATACACACATACTTTTAGAATACACACACAGAGAAATATGTAGCTATGCATACATACAGATATAAAAACATATTCTCAGTCACACACACACACACATACACACACAGAGAAATATGTAGCCATATATACATATGGATATGAAAACATATTCTCAGTCACACACAAACACAGAAGTGTGTAGCCATATAGACATACATATAGATAACAAAAAACATATTCTCAGTCACACACACAGAAATATGTAGCCATACATATATATAGATACGAAAACATATTCTCAGTCACACACAGATGTAGCTATAAAGGCATACGTAAAGATGAAAACACATTCTCATTCACACACACACACACACACACACAGATAAATATGTAGCTATGTAGGTATGAAAACATTCTCAGTCACATGCACACACACATAGAGCCATACGTGCCTTGTACAGACATACACAGAGATATGTGGCCACATACACAGATATGTAGCCACACAGCCATAGACACACACAGATGTGAAGATACTGTGAAACCAAAAACTTTTTACAACCAGGCCCCTTCCTACCTTTCCAGTCTTTTCACACTTTTCATAAACACTTTTCACACCTCTATGATCCAGCCACATTGGGCTGTTCCTTGGTTATGACAAATTATCTTTTCATTGTTTTTTCACTGACTTGTTTCTGCTCTTCTTTCTCAATGCCACTTTGTTTCCTTGGATTCCTTGAAGTCTCAGCTTAGGCAGCTGGGTAGTACAGTGGATTGAGTGCTGGGCTTGGAATCAGGAAGACCTGAGCTCAAAGCTGGTCTCAGACATTTACTAACTATGTGAACTTGGGCAAGTCACTTAACCTCAGTTTCCTCAACTGTAAAATGAAGATAATAACAGCAACTACCCTGCAGAGCTATTGTGAGGATATTTGTAAATGGGATAATATTTGTAAAACACTTAGCACGATGCCTGACACATAGTAGATGTTTATTCCCTTTCTTCAAATCCCACCTTTTTTGGGCAGCATTTCCTGGTCCCACCAACTGCCACTGCCTTCTCTTCTGAGACTGCCTTCTATCTAGCCTATATATAGCTTACATTTATGTAATTATTTTCATGTTGTCTCTTATTAGAATATGAGCTTTTTACTGATTCAAAATTATAAAAACAAGAACCATTCTCCAATAGATAAGTGGTCAAAGGAAAAGACAGGCATTCAAAAGAATAATAATTTATATAAAGCCTATATATCAGGCACTGTGCTAAGTATTTTAAAAATATTATTTATTTTATGTGAGCTATCAATACCCATATGAAAAAATGCTCCAAGTAACTGAGAATTAGAGAAATGAAAATTAAAGCAACTCTCCAGTTCCACTTCACACCCACTGGATTGACAAGGATGACAAAAGAGGAAAATGATAAATATTGGAAGAGCTGCAGGGAAACAGGGACACTAATGTGTTATAAATAGAGCTATAAATTGGCCCAGCCATCCTGGAAAGCAATTTGGAACGATGCTCAAAGAATCATTAATTTCTGTATACCCTTTGACCCAGTTATACCACTATTAGATGTATACCACAGAGAGACCATCCCCTAAATAAAAGAGGAAAGGGATCATGTACAAAAATATCTGTAGCAGCTCTTTCCATAGAAGCAAAAAACAAAACCCTGGAAACTAAGGAGGTAACTGCCTATTGTGGAACGTGTAAATAAATTATGGCTTATGAACAATGGACTATAAGAAATGCATAACAGTCCAGTTTCGAAGAAAATTGGGAAGACATGTATGAGCAGATGCAGAATGCAATGAGCAGAACTAGGGAAGTAATTTATAAAATAACATTGAGAAAAAGAACTCTGAAAGACTTTAGAACTGGTAGATGCAATAACAATCCATGATTCCTGAGGACCAAAAGCTGAAGCATGCTACCTACATCTTGGCAGAGGTGATGGACTCAAGATGCAGAATGAGATGTATATCTTTGGACATAGCCAATGAAAAAGTTTGCTTTGCTTAACTATACATATTTGTCATGAAGGGTTTTTTTCTTTTTTGTTTTTTTGTCACTGAGGATTGGGGGAAGTAGAAGACAGAGAAAATAAATGCTTGTTAAATGAAAAAATTAAAATTAATAATAATCAAAAAAGAATGTGAACTCTTTGAAGGGACTCTTTTTTCCTTTCCTTTGCATCCTTAGTGTTTAGCCTGGTACACAGTAAAGGTTTAATAAATGCTTGTTGAGAAGCCGATGCAGCAGGCACTCATGGACACATACATACGTGCATTGCCATATACATGCACAGATACAAAGCTATGCATACATACACACTGGCCAAAGAGAAAGACATTCAAACACACACACACACACACACACACACACACACACACACACAAATCATATACACAAAGAGATCTAGCTACAGGAAAATATTACTATAGATAGAGATACTCAGCCACATGGTGACACAAAGCTACCCAGCCAGACTGTCACATACATACGTACATGGCCACAGAATCACAGATCCACAGATACTCAACCATACATATACACACTCAGAGAGATTCTTTCACACATGCATACACATCCAATAACAGAAATATATTCACAGATATCCAGTTACACTGCCATAGACATTCCTACCCCTCCACAGGAGTAACTGGACACCTCCCTCACACACACATATTCACATGCAAGCAAATATCCAGTCACATACATATTCACATACAGATATCCTGCCAAAAAAAAAAAACCCAACCCTTTCACACATACAGTTTCATACATACAGACACATAGTCTACCCCAGGCATCAATGTAACACACACATCTAGCCCCTACCTCAGACATTTATCCTTGTGCATAGACACATAGCACACAGAGCCATTCACACACGTACCCAGTTACATAAAAAGAAATCACTACACAAAACTAGCCAGTCAAATACATATACCTGGCCACAGAAAAAAGATATACTCATGGACAATTACAAAAAGAGACAGCCACACACAGATAGCTAGCCCCATAGACATCCATATCCATAGCCACACAGAGAAAGAGACAGGTATTGATGCATACACAGAGATTTACGGTCACATGTGTACACACACAGTCACTTACATACACACAGGGTGATTCTCACATTAAGGCATCCCTGACCCATCTGTGTGTCTGACTAGGGCAGTGCTGAACAGATAGGCCTTGGGGGGTCAGTGCAGCATTAGGACATATGATCCACTCTGTTCCCTCTTTGCCAGCCCAGCCCCTGAGGTGTAGTGTGGGTAAAGACCATAGCCTGGGAACAAGACCCTCCATGACTCCAAGCCCAGTTAGTATGTCCTGACGAGACCCGTCTGGCCCCAAGGGTTCTTGATAGTCTGTGTGTGCCCACCTCTTCTTCTTCCTAAATTGGGGTCAGGAAAGGGGAAGAGAAGGAGAACTAAGGCCAGGGCTGAGCAGACTACACTGTTGGAGCTTAATTATTCCCCCACTCTCAAAGAGAAGGGATCTCACTCTATCTTTTCAGGCAAGAGGACCCAGGAGCCTGTTTCAGAGTTTCAGAGATTTTTCCATCCAGGCTCAATTCTCAAAGGGGCATCAGTGGGAATCATGATCAAGCCTAGGGGCCAGCTATGATGGACAAAGAGTTCAAGGTCATGGTTATAAGAGTGAAGCTGAGCCTAAGACATGGGTAGCCCCATGTCCTTTCTTATGGAGGGAGAAGAATATGAGGATAGGCTGAAGGAGAGGCTGAGACCACAAAACCCATATCCCGTTGGGAGTCAGAAATAGGGTTTGTTCCCTACCCTAACTTCAATCTTCTGACCCAACCTGCTCCCTTTCTTCTACTTTCCCAAATATTTTTAATTCTCTCAAACTAGATGACCACTAAGTTTTGTTCCAGTTTTAATATTTATGGTAGTTTGTGAGGAAAGGAACTTATATCAAAAGGAGGAAGAGATGAGAAATACTGCCAGAATTGGAAGTGGTGGTAGTTGGAATTAGTTAACGGAAAAAGGAGCAGGACAGGTCACCTTGTAGACCCATAGCTCAGTTCTACTTCCCCACCTAAGTTTGTTCTGAGAAGGAAACTCCCAGATGAGAAATGGGGAGGTGGAGGCTAAGCAGAAAGTGGGGATGAATAGGAGACATCCCGCTTTCAATCCAGGCAGATCTCATCTTTGTGCTTTTAATGACCAACCATGTGCAAAGACGAGCTAAGTCATGGGGTGAGAAGGGGATGACCTTTGGCCCCCTCAAGCTCCTGCCATCCTGTCTTTGACTTGGGGCTACAAGCCTGTGTGCCTCATGAGGAACATTAAGTGGTCCAATAGAAAAAGGCGTAAATGGGGAGATGGAGGGAGAGGAGTATGAGAATGGGCTGAAAGAGAGGCTGAGACCACCACAAAACCTGGATCCCCTTGGGGGCTAGAAATAGGGTTTTACTCCCTACCCTAACTTCAATCTTTTCACTTAACTTCTCCCCCTCCAATACATTCCTAAATTTTTTTTTAATTTTTCAAACTAGATGACCACTAAGTTTCTATGGTAGTTGGTGAGTTTATTCTTGCCTCTCTACCCAAGGAGACTACAAGTCCCAGAATGCAACATGAGATAGATTCTTAGGAGATGGAAGCACTGCCTATTGGGAGCAGAGCCTTAGCTTGGGCTATGAGAATACAGACTATACCTGTGGAGGGAAGTTCATATGATTTTCTCTTGGGTGGGGGAGGCTGGAGGATAGGACTAGGACTGACTTTCCCCTTCCCTTGCCCCACCAGTCTCAGAGGAACAAAGGTAGATGTGTGTGCTAAAAGCTTTCAGACAAACATTATACAAGGGGGTCCAGCAATGCCCAAAAAGATTGGAGTTAAGGAGTTGTCAAGGAGAAACTGGTGATGGATTAGAACCAAGGATCCTAATCCAGAGTCTCTTGGGGAGGGAAGATATGAAGATGGAGCTATAGCAGCTGGATAGATGGGGAAAGTTAATGGCTCTAAGGGAGGTGTGATGGGGGAAGAAGGAAGTAAATCTAGAGGCAGAATAAAGCTCTTGGTGAGGGGAAGGGTTGGAATCCTGATCTTCAGATCAGGATTACAGTCTAGACTTGAGGACGGAGTAAGGAACAGTCTTTGGAGGGGGTGGTGGTGGTAGTGAAGCATCTGGGGTTAGAGCCATGATGTCCCCAGGGTGGGCCCTAGAAGAAGCTAGGGTAAGGAGAGGAGGAGTGAGGTTCCGAGGTCAGGGTCTCTGAGCATTAAGGTTTCTAGAATAAGCAGGGTTAGGACACCCAGGTAAAATAGGCCACTTCATCCAGATCCACAGGGTAGTCAGTGAGCAGGATGGGCGCCTTGACAAAGAGCTCCCCCTTATAGCTGCGCCACTTTCCTGCAGGCAGGTACACGTCACGCTCCTGCTTCCCTGGTTCCAGTACAGGTGCCACAAGCAGCGTGTCGCCAATAAGGAACTGAGAGTCCACTCGATGGGCCGCTTCATCCCCAGGTGCAATCCACCACAGAGGCCGAACTATGGGATCGCCTGTGTCGATCACCTCTCCAGCCAGCTCCAAGAGCAGTGGGGCCACCAGCTCTGCCCTCAGTGCTGCAAACTTGCGTGCTATCTCCACCACCTCCTGGTCATAAAGCCAGGGTGGAATAGAGAACTGCATGGCTGGCATGCAAGCCGCCACCTCCAGCCAGCGCACATAGAGCTCACGCTCTGGGATTCCGGTATTCCGACCCCCCTCGCCAGCTGTATTCCCAGGCACGGCATTGCCACCTATCAGGTCAGGGAGGATAAAGGGGTAACCCAGCATACTGATGGTCAGCACCGCTGGGATCAAGGAACGCAGACCCAGCTCATGGCCCCACACCGAGTCGCGGTCAATAAGGCGGAAGAAACAAGAGATGTTCTGTGACTGGTAGCCCACACGCACTTCAGCCAGTGAGAAGAAAGGCAGCGCCATCTCTGTGTACCGCCGGCTCCAGAGGTTGGGGTCCGCCAACAGGCGGAATGTGCTGAAGTCCCGGGGCAGATAGCTCACTTCCCCAGCATCGAACTTGAAGGAGGAGATCGAGTACTGGGTGCGAAGTCTCCGCAAGTGACCCTGGAACCATTCCCGGGCGGCTGGGTTGGTGAAATCCAGGACAGCACCAATACCATTCCACCAGCGCACTAGGGCTGGCAGCCGGCCTGTAGGCTCCCGGACGAAAAGGCCCCGCTCCACACCTTCTCCAAAGCTGGATGAGTTATAGTTGACAAAGGGGTGTACCCACAGGGTGACCCGCAGACCAGCCTCCTGCAGCTTCCTGAACATCTCTGTGGCATTGGGGAACTTGGCTTCATCAAAGGTGAAGTCCCCATAGGCAGGCGTGTACATGTCATCAATTTCCAAGTAGCTACAGTTGAAGCGGTATTTGCGGATCTTCTCAGCAAAGCGCAGCACCTTATCCTGGTCCACTGCTCTCCCATAGAGGGCCCACGTGGACCAGATTGGGTCACGAAAGGCTTCTCGGGCTGGCACCTTAGATGGTTTATTGAAGTAACGCCGCACCATGTACTTATGAATTGATGTCACGTCAGAACCCACACAAACACGGTAACTGAGCTCAGGCAGGGGCTCACGGCCCGCAGGTGGCTTGTAGGATGTGTCATGATAGCGGGCCTGTAACAGGAGAGAGCGTCCAGTGGCATTCCAACCCAGGTGGAAGGGCACGGAGTCATTGACTTTTATGGCAACCGCTTTGGATGACAGCCAGTATCGCTCAAGAATACCACCAAAGGCTGCCCGAGATGAGTACACATCGCTGGTGACAAAAGGCTGGGGTGCCTGAAGGCCAGCCAGCTGGATGGGCCAGTGCTGGGTCCGCATCTCGGCACCACCATACCAGTGCACATCACCCAGAAACATGGTGTGCTCCACAGAAGGGGTTGGAGCCAACTCCTCCCAGCGCACACGGTAGCACATGACAGTGTCCTTGGGCCGGACAGTCTGGATGAAGAAATTGAGGGGGCCTCCTGTGGAGCGAGAACAACTCAAGATGTCCCCCTCTCGTGCACAGGACTCCAGGTCCAAGGCCCCAGAGCTGAAGGCCAGACGGAAGACTTGCTCTCCCTGCTGGTTTCGAATGGAGAAGCCACCTGTCCAGAGTTCCAATAGCTCAGCCCCAAGGCGCTCCGCCTTACGGAGAGATGTGCTGTAGTAGCACCAAGCAACCACAGCCGCTAAGACCAGTAGGAGCCCCAGCAGTACAGATCCCAGCATAGGTTTTAGCTCTTTGGACGGCTTGGTCTTGGTTGGGGTAAAGTTTTCAGGGAGGAAGGTATACATGGTTGTGGCAGCTCTGGCAGCAACCTGAGAGTCCTTCTCAGCTCTCCACCCTCTTCGATGGTAGGGCTGCTTCCCTTTTTGGGGATCCTGGGTCATAATCCCTCAAGCTGGGTATGGAAGGGGAAAAGTATTACTTTCCCCATAACCAAATCCATTTAGCCTGAAGAACCACAGTGTCTGAAAAGGGGGGGAAAGAGATAGTGTTTAATTCTTTATGCTACTTCTAAACTCCTGTAATCCTTCCTCTACCCCCCTCCCCATATGCTCCTGTCCTTGCCCTCCAAAAATATATATTTGACAACATAATTTCCATGGAGCAGACATCAAGAAGATTTTTTTCTTTTTTACAATATAGAGACATGGGAACAGGGAGAAGCTGAATAAACCATTTCCAATACTACAAAAATGAGGATAGTAACAACTTACATTTATACTAGTGCTTTAAGGGTATTAGAATGTAAGCTTCTTGAGGATACATTCTCCTGCTTTGTATCCTCAATGCTTAAAAGCTAGCAAATGCTTAATAAAAGCTCTTTCATTACATCATAAAGAGGATTCCTCACAACAACCTCATGAGACAGATATCTCAATATCAGAATCATAACTATCAATTCTGCTGCATGGCAAGCAAGGAGACAGATTGATATATCAAGGTCCTTGTGTCCTTGGGACAGAAAATCACACAGAGGGAAAGCCCTCAGGTCACTGCTGGGGAGGCTGCTACCTGGGGAAGTAGCAGGGTGGGCCAGAGAGGCAGTCACCTGGGTTGTGGAACCATCTGGCAGTTTTCTATTTTTAACTGAAGATTCTTGCAAACTAAATGAGTTGTCCTTACCTGCTGAAAGAGTACAAGCATTGTCAATGCCTTCTAAATTACAGTGCCCTAGGGAAAAGCTCTGGTTGCTCTATTCCATATTCCACAGATCTGTAATTTCATTGGCCTGTGTTCTCTACTTATCTTTCCAAAGTTTCTCCCATCTTTCCCTTCACCTCCATTCCAACAGCTACCACCACAATTCAGGCATTTTGCCTTTTGCCTGGATGATACAACAGCCTCCTAACTATTCTCCAACCTTTTATCTTGTCTCCTTCTAATCCATTCCAAATATGGTAGGCAAATTGACTTTCTTAATGCACAGCCCTGACCTTTGCTCAAGCTGTCCAACGAGTGACCACAAGTGATCCAGTGACCACAAGATAAAGTCCCATCTCCTCAACCTGGCATTCAGGGTGGTCCCAAATCTAACAATCACCTCTGTCCAATTTCATTTCTCAGCATTTCCTTTATATTTATTCTCTATTGGTCTCTTCCCCACCCGCAACATGTCATAATGACTTCCTGAAATGTTCACCTTGTTCTCTTTGTCTATTCAAACCCTAACCTTTTTAAAGAACCACCTTCTCTAGCTAGCCTTCCTTATTGCAGCTCATAGCAATCTACCTCTTCCTTCTGACTTTGTATCATTTATTTGGTACTTATCACACCCTACCACCTTGCATTGTCTGGTAACTTTTCACCCCGGAGTCTTATTTTCCCAAATAGATTATAAGCACCTTAATCAATTGTTCATCTTTCTCTATAGTCCCTCACAGGGCCTAGCACATAACAGGTTCTCCATAAATGTATATTTATGGTTGGGCTGGAGAAGAAGTAAGTGCTTTGGCTTGAGAGAGGTACTCTAATGCCATGGGGAGAGTGGGGAATAAAGGGGGATATATTGTGAAAGGTAGGCATATAGAAAAAGATATCAATTTCTTTAAAAAGAAAGCTATGAAGGTAGATAGAGCACTGGCCCTGAAGTCAGGAGGACCTGAATTCAAATGTGGCCTCGGACCAAACACTTGACACTTACTAGCTGTGTGACCCTGGGCAAGTCACTTAACCCCAATTGCCTAAAAAAAAAAACAAAAAAAACCCCAAACAAAAAAAGAAAGCTATGAGATAATTTCTTTTTCCCTTGAGGGCAGAGTCTCAGCAGATCTTTCTCAGACCAGCCTCCAACCCAGGTATGGCCATACCAGGTGTCTCCTTTTCCCCTATCCCCATTCCAAACTGACACCTAGGAAAGACCTTAGCTTAAAAAGGCCTCAATCTCCCACTGTGTTTGGGGCCATCTCCAGTTGTCCGGACCTATGTCTTGCCACTGGATTCCGATGACTCTGGAGGAGAAAGTGAGGCTGATGACTTTGCACAGCCCTGCCTCACTTAAATCCAGTTCACTTGCAAGTCAAGACATCACCCTCCTTTTGTCACTGGTCCTCTTGGAGAAGGAAGGACAAACAACAACAAACACCCCTATTCCAACTAAGTTTTTCTTTAAAACTTAATTTGAAGGAATATCTTATGCCATTTGTCCAGGGATGGAAAAATGGTTAGTTATAGCAATGGTAATTTGCAAACCCTAAATTGCTGCAAAAATGCGTCATCATCATCATCATCATCATCATCATCATCATCATCAAGATTGTCCTCTCCCTTGCCTCTGCTATCCCATCCCCCACTGAGACTCAGACATACAACCAGACACAGAATCACAGAATTCTGGTGCCAACAAGGAACTTTGACACAGCCAGCCACAGTCACAAGCAAGAATATACAGAGAGAATCACAGACAAACATTAAGTTGCCCTGGGTCTGTCTCTAATTCTCCATTACCAAACTTCTAATCAGGGTTAGAGAGTGGAGCTAAGGTAGAGAGGAAGGAGATAAGACGTCATGCTATATTTACTCTTTCTATCCCCAGGAAAAACAAATCTGGAAGGCGGTGCCAGTTACAAAACAGTACTTTGAACTCAGCCATCCAAGCTTTTGTCTCCACTGCTTCCAACTCGGGGCAAAGGGGATGAAAGTGAGACCCAAGGTAAATTGGCTTACCTAAAGGTTGCAAATTCCTTGACTCTGAAACTTTACTGTGGTGAGAGACAGGATTTGAACTCATGTCCTTCCCACTTGGCCCTTCACATTTTGACTCTTATTATTCCAGCTCTAAGTCTTATCTTTTAGCTCAAGTAGTTAAGGAAGGACTTCCTATCTTGATCTTGTTTTGGTCTGATCTGAGGTAAGATAGGTATTTGTGTGCAGATCTCCTCAGATCTCAGGCTCCTGGGCACTCCTCCCCATGAAAATCTCCTTCCATTCAATTGTGTGTGTGTGTGTGTGTGTGTGTGTGTGTGTGTGTGTGTGTGTTTTGTAGGGGCAGGGTATAAAATTTAAAAAGTTAAAAAGCTATCTTTCCTTTGCCAATAATGAGACTTAACAGGATAATCCAAACCTTGATGAGAGAACCATAAATCTTTGACTTGATAGTTTTTGAGGCCTCCTGTAGCCTCTGTAATCTAGGCCATAGCACTCTATGACCCCTTCTGCGGGACTATAGTTCAAAGGCCCATCCTCACTTAACACACTTTCCAAGCCACCAGCAGAATCCTGGTCACCCTTCCCAGCTTTCCACTGAGTGTAAAGGGTCTTATACTGAGCATATTGTGAGGGAAGAAAGGAAGTAAACAGGAGAGAGGAAATGTCTCTATTCCTAGGGAGATTCTGAGCCACAGGTTCTGAAACTTTTTGGTCTTAGGACCAATTTACACTCTTAATGATTATTGATGCTTCCCCCCCCCCAAAAAAGAGCTTCTGTTTATGTGAGTTATATTTACTGACATTTTCTGTGATTTATATTTATTGATATTTAACATATTAGAAGTCAAAACATCTTGGTATTATTATGAAAATACTATTGACCCAGCCCTGCAGGGGTCCCTGGCCCATATTTTAATAACTGATGTTCGGAGCTGACAGGGGACACCTCCAGCCCACACTAAATTTTACCTTCTCTAACTTCCTCCAGCACTTATAGATAGCCCGGGCCATGAACTCCCCTGGAATCAGAGAATCTCCAGAGTTAGGAGGGACTTCAAAAGTTAGCTGGTTCTCTTCTGACTTATTTTTTTCTTCACTTAAAAATATTCCTTGTTATAAGGGATGGATCTCTGAGATGATGAGACATACAATGGGGAAATCTAGGTGACATGATAAACAAATGATATAGATACAAATTTATTTTTTAAAAAGTCATCTAGTCCAACTCATACTTCAATAGGACTCCCTCAAAATCTCAGTGACGGGAGTTATCAAGCTTCCAGTTGAAACCCTCCTTTCGTGGGGAAGTCCCTCTTTTCTTTTTTTTTTAAAGGAAGACAAGTATTTTTAAAATTCAGACCAGTTGATGTCCAAAGCAGGAGAACATGTAGTTTATTCTCAGTTCTATTTCCCTCCACCCCCGTCCTCTGGAAAGGTAATATTGGAACTCAGGAAATGTCATAGAGGAATCTATCAAAATAATTATCAGCACCAAACTCCTTTTTCCAATTCAATATGAACTCATTATGTCCAAAGCATATCATTCTGTTATTAGGAAGTTTTTCTTTATGCCCAACAAAAGTCAGTCTTCTTGACTTTGACCACATGTTTGTTATGGCTTGTTTCTTCAGCTAGATTGAGATCACCAAGGGGGAGCTGTCTTCTCTGTTTCACCCACATGTAGACCAACATGGAGGTCAGTTGCATTGCAGTCACTCAGTAGATTTGAATGAATGGGAGCCTCCTTATGTCCCAGAGAGCAAAACCTGGGCAAGTGGATGGAAATTACAGGGAGGTAATTTCTGCCCATTACAGTGAAAAAACTCATAATTAGAGCTGTCCCAAAACAGCCTGGACAGTGTAAGTTAAGTAGAGAGCTCCCCATCAATAACCTTTTTCTTTTTTTTCTTGGTGAGGCAATTGGGATTAAGTGACTTGCCCAAAGTCACATAGCTAGTGTTATGTATCTGAGGCCACATTTGAACTCAGGTCCTCCTGACTCCAGAGCCAGTACTCCATCCACTGTGCCACCTAGCTGCCCTTCTCCTCATCAATATAAGTGTTCAAGTTGAATTGCATGTAGACCTAGATAGGTCTTCTAAGTTTCCTTCTTACTCTGAGATTTTGTGATGGGGCAGATAAGGTCCATACCCTAGGGGAGAGGAGGATAGCAAAAAGGCTCACTAATGAAGATAGACAATGAGCACACAAATACTGACATGGACTGATACTTTTTGCTGTTTACAAGTGAGAAGCATATTTATTGGCATAGAGAGATGTCATTGGAGTTTCCTATATAGGTGGATGGAAAAACTATTTAGAGCAGTGGTATTTAAGCTGCTGCCAGTCTGGGCAGCTGCTGGAAAGGAGTGGCTTAAAATCCAAGTTGGACCTACACTAGCGGAGGGTGATTTCTGGAGGGGTCTGGCAGCTGTTCTGCTTAGGGGGAAGTCTTTCTGTGGTTACTGATAACCCCTTGGCAGATTCATCAGAACACCACCCTGTAATCAGCATGGTCTCCCCTGCTGTCTGGCTGAGGGATGCTAGGTCTGCCACGCATTTGTCCTGATCCTCCTCTGTATTCAGCCACTTATAAGTCTGAGGGGAAGTGCCAAATTCCCTCCCACAAGCCTTTGGTGTCTTGCCCTTGTGGTTCTGGGGGTTTGTCCTCCCCCCCCCCCTTCCTACCCTTTTCTATTTACAAGAGTCCCACTCAAAAGCAACTTGATCGCCAGCCCAGACCTCAATTTTGTCGTGCAGGATAGTGCCAAAGGCAGCTTGGATCGGATGGCAGAAAACAGCTGGCCTGCACCCAGGATCCCAGCCCCCACCTCTTGAGCTCCTCTTTGCCCCCCTTCCTAACCCCACAAGGACCTTCCCACTGTGACTCCTCACCCAAATTCTCAGTTTACCCAGTCCCCAGTAAGTCTTTATCAACCTCACTCCCTGGTCTCTGGGGTGTAGTTTTATTCACCCAAACAGCAGCTCCATTTCCCAGAGGGGAGCCCAAAGAAGGCATGCAGTTCACTAGTCACACTGGAAGCCATAGTCTGAGTTGGGAGTAGACTTGGAGCTTAAAGGAACTGCAGAAATCGTCTGGTCCAGCCTTCTACTTTTATGTATATGGAAACTAAGGTCCTTCTTATGGTCACCCAGCTGGTGAGCGGCAAAGCTGGGACCAAACCAAGATCTCCTGACAGCCCAGAGTTTTTTTCCATTACACAGGTGTCCCATTTCTCTGCCTGGGGCTCCTCCCCCTCTTCCCAAAGCAAGAGCAAAGGAACAGATTGGGCTTCCCAGAGGTTCTAGTTCAACTCTTTCACTCAGCGTTTCAGAACCTGTGATTGATTGAGAGGGAGCTTGGCTGAAGGGCTTCTTTATCCACCCCCAAACCCAGCCTGCAGCCAAGCCCGTCTGCCTCACCCCAAAAGGGAGGCTCGGGGCACCAGGAGTCACTATTCCTCGCTGTTCCTAAGTCTCCAACACCCTCGCCTCCGGGACCCACCTACCCGAATCTGGGAGGAGGTGTCCTTCTCACAGAATTATTTAGACTGGGTTCCATCCCCTCAGGCAGATTTAGCTAGAGCGCTGGGGCTGAGCTCTAGAGATAGGGGTGGGGTGGGTTTTAGGGTTAAAGTCTGAAGCCACAGGCTAGGTTACCGCTCAACTCCGAGGCCCTATCGGGATCCTTCCCCTCCATAGCCGTGTCCCACCCCTCGAACCCGTCCCAGCGCAACTCCCTAGTTTCCCACTCTTCTTTCCTCCTCAGTAGCGCCCCCAACCCGACTACAGACAGCAGTCCCTCCCAGCCGCTGCTCTCCCTTCCCCAAAAGCTGGCCCCATACCTCAGCGCCCCCCTACATATATCCCCGTCCCCGTCCCGGGAAGAGGGAGCACTTACGACTCAAGCTACGTCCCCCAAGGCGGCTCTCGGACCCCGGCCAAGAGAGTGCGCGGGCCGGCAGAGTTTGCTCCCCGGCGGCTCTGGCAGCTGTCAGCGCGTCCGCTCGGAGCTTGTTTACGGCGCCTCTGCAGCCCACAGTCGGCCTCTTGGGCACACCGACGGTCCCAGGGAGTGCTCCAGCCCCGCGGTAAGCGCGCGAGGGGGGAACCCCTGCCCAGACCCACTGGGGAGACCCGCCCTCATCCTGCTCCTCCCCTGGTCCCAGCCCCGGAGCTCCGCCCCATCCCGCCCCGGGGAAGCCCACAGTCCCTATGCCCGCTCCCTTGGTCCGGCCCCGGAGGAATCGCGTATTCCCAGGGAGTTCCGACGCCCCACCGTGGCAGCACTCCTCTCCTTCTCTGGAGAGCCCCCCGAAAATTCCGCCCCTTCTCAACCCCCCAACTGCTTTCCTTCTCCGGAGGCCCCACCACCCCGAGAATCCCGCCTCTTCTTAAATCCTAACTCCGCCCCTTCTCCAGCCTTCTACCTTTCTGAACTCCGCCCATTGTGGGCCCCTAACTGGAGAATGCCGCCGTTTCTCACCTCTTACACCCCAACGCGCATCCTCCCTCCCTTCTCTCCCCCAAAAACCTCTACAGCACTCGAAGCTAGCTGCCCCTTCCTGGACCTGCTTTTCTCCCCATTCAGGGTAGCGCTGCTGTTTGTTGGGATGGAGAACGCTTTTGGGAAGGGATAGCCCACCTTCTCTCCTTCCCTCCTCTCCCCTTGCTGGAAAATGTAACTTTAGAGCTCGAGTTTTAACCTTTTGCGTTCTGGACCAAGATGGCAGTCTGGTTGTCAATAAACACCCCCTCCTCTATATAATGGTTTTAAATGCATAAAATTCATAGGATTACAAAGGAAACCAATTATATTGAAATTTATATATAGTGTCAAAATACATGTGTTTTTTTAAAAACAGGTTCACCACACCAGGTCAAGAACCTTTATTTTAGAGACTCATTGCTTGGAGGCTCAGGGTGAGAGAGGGAGATGAAGCCAGTGTTTTTGGTTGTAGGGATCTGGTGAGAAGACTTTGGAGAGGGTGGGGAGTGGTGATGGGGGTTAGGGGACAGGTAACTTTCTGTTCTCCTGCCTCCCACCTAATTGGAACAACACCTGGCTTTCTGCTGCTAGGGGCTCCAGTTAAGAATGTCTAGGTATTGGAGCAAAATGACTCCCCTCCCCTCCTTCCCCCCGCCCCGCGTTGATCAATCAACTTGTTGAATTGACAAAACTGAATCAAGCCCTTCTTCTTCTTCTTCTTCTTTTTCTTCTTCTTCAGGCAATCGGGATTAAGTGACTTGCCCAGGGTCACATAGCTCGCAAGTGTCAAGGTCCTCCTGACTCCAAGGCCAGAGCTCTATCCACTTAGCCACCTAGCTGCCCCATAGAAGAGAGGGATTGGTTTCCAATCCAATTTTTCAGTGGTAGGTTTTTTTTCCCCCCAAGCCCTTCTTAGAGACCCAGACCCTTTCCCCAGAAAGATACATGGAGTCTCCCCCTTTTTTTTTCATTCATCCCTAGAACCTGTTCCTCTATTTTCTAAATACTCTAACGTGGTATGTGTGTCTTCCTAATCTCTTTTTTTTCCCTCTTTTTCTCTTTTTTTTCTTTTTTGGCTAGGCAATGGAGTTAAGGACTTGCCCAGGGTCACACAGCTAGTATGTATTATGTGTCTGAGGCCGGATTTGAACTCAGGTCCTCCTGAATCCAGGGCCAGTGCTCTATCTGCTGCACCATCTAGCTGCCCTTGTGTCTTCCTAATCTCAATGAAGGTTTGAAGACCTGGCACCCAGTTCTAGCTCCACAACCAATTGACTGTGACCTTGTCTACCAAAAGGGTCTGGACCAGAGGATCATTTGACTGCTTTCTAACCCTGACATTCTGTGGTGCTATGTTTAGAATCTCCTCCAACCTATGACCATAGGCCACCCCTTCCCCTCCACCAACCTCAAGATTATTTATAGCATTGCTTGTGTTCTGGCTGGGAGACCATGTGAGTCATTGTCTATTTTAAGAAGAGATAGTATGAGCTGGGAGAGATGGGGAGTGTCCCCCAACCATTCCTTCCCTCCTCTCCTCTACCCAGGGGGCTCTGAACACTGGAATTGGGGTAGGGCAGGACTTCAAAATATGGCAGTATAATTTGTTCATGCCTTTTTGTTGTTCAGTTGTATCCAACTCTTCGTGACCTCATCTGGGATTTTCTTGGCAAAGATACCGATTCCTTCTCCAGCGCATTTTACAGATGAGGAAACTGAGGCAAACAGAGTTAAGTAACTTGTCCAGGGTCACACAGCTAGTAAGTGTCTAAGGCTTGATTTGAACTCAGGTCATCCTGACTCCAGCCTGGTGCTCTATCCACTGTACAACCTAGCTTACCCATGTCTTTAAGAGAGGGACAAAAACAGATACAGAATGGATAGGATAGATAGTTTCTGCCTTCCCCGCTTCCCACCAAATATCACAACTTTCTTAAAACCTTCCTGTGGGGGAAGAATACCTTTTTTTAGTATAATCATGTACTTTATTGTTATGCAATAAATAAAATGCAATTGATAGCAATCAGGCAAGCAAAACCTTTACAAACATTATATGGCAATATAGACAGATATTGGTTTTTTTGTGCCCACATGCAAGAAAATCACCTTAGCTTGAAGGTAAGGGAGATGTATTGAGGAGGGAACATGTTCAAAGTTGGGATTCTCATGGGAATGGGTTTGATTGAGATAAATACCTTTTGATAGGAGACTAGACTACAGAATCTGCATTAAGGGAAGAGTTCTGGTCCATAGTCCCTATTTTGAACTCTTCCTCTGTTGCTTCACTTCATAGATCCTTGGAGGGGGAGCCAAAAGCATCTTTGAGTTTAATGAGATGGGGCACCAGGGATGCTGGACTGTGGCCATGGTAGGGCTTGGTGAGTACTGCATTGAGAGGATGCTGGGCTGGGGGTGGGGCCATTGGAAGGAGACTAGAAAGAAACATGATGAGACACACATGTTGGGGGAGATAAAACCTGGATTGGGGGAAGTCAAGTCTTAAGGTAGGAGGGATGGGTCATATCTGTGTGGAATGTGCACGCAATGGAAGGGGCATTAGATTTGAAATCAGAGAACCTGGGATTTGAATTCTGCCTCATACATTGATGATGGGCCTTAGCTTTCTCTAGTGTAAAACAAGGGTGTTAGACTAGATAATCTTTAGTCTCTTCCTATGATCCCATAGCTTTCTCAAGTGTAAAATAATGTTGTTAGACTAAATAATCTCTAAAGTATGATTCCATGGGGCTTTGCTCATAGTAAGCTTTCAGATATTTGTTGACAGGTGGATTAAAAGCCAGTCCCTGGAAAGAACACAAATATTTCTGTACCTCACCCTCAGCCTCCACAGTGCAGGGTCCAAAGCCTGCTTCTTACTCATCCCACAGGCTCCATCTTGGGAGGAGTCTAGGGTTTTGGACCATTGCATGATCCTCCTGGTCCCATGTCTACCATGATGGGAGGGGTTGGAGAGAGGAGGGTGAAGTCCCTGGATTGGACAGTTGCATGAAGAGAAATTTGTATGGAAAGGCTAGGGTGTAAGAAGGTATGAGAAGACTTTGGAAGATAGCAGCTAAGAAGCAAAAATCTTATCGGTCTCCAAAGACCAGATGGAGGAAAGGCAAGGACTATATTATTCGTTCATTTATGTCTTTGTATCTCTAGGGCCTAGTTCTTGGTGCACTGTTGTTGTTTTTCAGTCATGCCCAACTGAGGCAAGGATGAGGAACTGAGGCCAGTAAGGGTTAAATGACTTGCCAGGGGGTCATACAGCTAGGAAGTGTCTGAGGTCCCATTTGAACTCAGATCCTTCTGAATACCAGGCTCTGTGCTCTATCTACTGTACCACCTAGCTGCCCAGTACATAGTAGATGCTTACTAAATACTTTTGTTGAGTTGAATTGGACTTGGGCACACAGTTGGAATGAGTGAGCCAGCATTAGCTGCTTTCTACCCTTCTCTGGCCCCAGTTTGGGGGACTGACAGAGCCCCTTCCCAAGTATCTATTGGGATGTGGCTTGAGTCTCTGGGGGTGGGAGGGGTAATGCAGGATTTAGGGGAGGGAGGAGTTTAAGGGGCTACAAAGAAAAGATAGATCTCTGCAGGTGGGGTGGAACTTGGTTTACTGAGCTGCCCCACCCTCAGCCCTGACCACGGCTCGGCTCTACCAGCAGCGGTAGACAGGGTAGGTCTCCGACACAAACTCAGGGTGGATGATGTAGTTATTTCTCTGGGGTCCTCCGATCAACTTGAAGTGACTGGTGTCCCACCTGCAGAGGTGAGAGGAGATTGAAACAGGCCATCCCATCCGAAGAGATGATCTGAGTTTCATACAACTGGCCTCTAGAACCCCTTAACCCCTGGGGGTTCATATTTATGGTAGGAAGGGCCTGGGCCTCCAGGCTCCATTCAATGGTTTAGCCTCCCCTGTATTCCATTCTGAGACCCAGATGTTGGGAAGGAGGGTCACAAAACACACAGTGAGAAGGGGAGGTGGGAGTTCCTGATTTCAGCCCACATCCTCAGCTTCTACATCCAATATCCCCAGCCCTAATAATGATCCAGCTCCTGAAGTCCTAAGACTGTGTCCTCAGGATCCCATTCCCCTGGAAGCTTAGCTCAAAGACTAGGCACCATGACCAGCACTTATGAAGACAAAAAGTCTGAAAGCACCATTTAAGACAATGGTGTCCCCTTCCCAGTGCTAGATGTAAAATGTTCCCAACCAAAAAAAGGACAAAACTGAGGGAGATATATCAAAAATGAGGAAGGGGACGGAAGGCCCACCCAGCAAAGGAGACAGGCACACTTACTTAAGGTTTGCATAGTGACATGGTGATGGAGGGAGGAGGGGTGAAGCAACACAGTTCATTCCTGGCCTGTGGTTGTAAGGGGGGGCACTCCTGTAAGGAAAGAAAAAGGAAAAGGGATATAAGATTAGGCAGTTGGAGTACCATTCTCCAATTTCCTCTCCTTCTCAAACTCAGGTCTGTGTGCAAAC